ACATGTTCCCAAATAATTCCTGGCTGACTCCATGGCCCAACAGGATCCGTAGAGGCTTTGGATTTGATAATCCCTAGATCTTTCCCTTCATGAAGTACCAATAGCTAGGACCTTGGCATCTATGTGTTTGATTTGCAAGGATCACAGGTAAAACTATGATCCCTAAATTCATAGACCATACCTTGGTTTCTCTTGGTTGCAGTTGTAATATTTCTAACCAAGTTTTGTGTAGATACATAGTGGATTCCTTAAGAGAAAAACAGCAGCAAATCACTTTTTCTTCTTCTTTTTTTTTTGCTAAGTCAGAATTTGACAACCGTTTTGAAGAAAACGTTGAAAGACAGAATCAAGAAATGCTATTGTTGCAGCTGTTAAAGCACTTGGGTGCTAATTGGAAGGCAGACATTTCGAATCCACAGGAGAAAGATGTGGCAGCCTGGTTCTCTAAAGATGACAGCTTTAGAACCCTGTGGGGCAGTTCTATGCTGTCCTATAGGGTCACTGTGAGTCAGAATTCACTAGACAGCAAGGATTTGATCTAGGGGTAGGAGACATAATGTTTACTAAACTCCTTTGCTTAAAGAGTGCTTCCAGACCTGACCCAGCACAGAGGTAGTTTCTGTACTCACCGAAATCAGCTATTAAAAAGAAATTGAGAAATACCATATAAGCCTCCAGAATTCAGATGGGTCTCCAGGGATTTATATGTTTGGTTGCCACCTGACTTACTGTGACCCCACGCACCATGGGATCGGACACTTGAGATCTCTAGGCTTTTCCTTGGTTTGTGTTTGGAAGTAGATAGTCAGACCTTCTTTTTTTAAAGGTTTTTGAGGTTTGACTAAATGCAAATATTCCCAAGAGTTAGAGATTGATCTGTTGCTTTCTACGCAGGAAACTAGTTTACCAGCTTTACTCACCTGAAGGGGCTCCTTACTCTTTCTGAAACGGAGGTGCTTTCATGCAGTGTAGATGGAGAGGGGACAGCAAAATGACTGCCCATGACCTTTTTTGTACAGGATTTGTGCAAAATGTTATTACTTTAATAAAAATAGCTGCACAGGTAGTTATAGTAGCATAACTATTTTTGTACACCAAGTTTTGTGGATCTATATATTTACAAGGCCAGCATCATAGAACAAATTTACCTTTGAACCTTCTCATGTGCTCCTGTCTGAGCTGTTATTAATGCCCAGTGACAGTGATGCTTGAATCACGTGGTTTTGTCTGTGCATGCTACAAGCATGCACTGCTATTTTCATTGCTACTGGTGTATTGATGGCTGCTGATGTCAAAGTTTTATTTACAGTAGTGTGGTAATTAGTATTTCTGAACACATTTCACTAGCTTTGGGGGCGGGGGGGATGAATTTATTAGAAATAAAGGAAGAGAAAAAACTTTTAAAAGGCTTCCACACAGTTACCAGTGATTTAATAAGAACGTTTTGGTGAGGAAATATGTCAGCGAGCAGAGGAGCTGGGTGACGGGCCTAGTGATTACTCCTTGGATTGCAATCCACAAGGTGAGCAGTTCAAAACCACTAGTCTCTCCACAGGCTACGCTCGTAAAGAGGGAAAGGCTCAGGAACTCACAGGGGCAGCTCTACCTTGTCCGACAGGGTCACTCTGACTCTAAGGCAGTGAGTTCCACACTAGCGCTAGTGGACAAGACAAGCCACCAGTGAGGGAACGAAGGACTGCAGTCAACCTCCTCTTCAGAGGACTCCCGTTCTTGTGAGAGAGGCAGGACTGCAGTGGGTTCTCCAATCATGGGCCCTCGTGCATTGATGCTCGCTCTGTGGTTTGTGGACTTGCCCTGTAGAAGCACACTCGGCAGTGAGAGAAGGGTGACGATGGGCGGGCGGCAGTCTCTGTGATCCCGCTGGTCTCTCTCTGACCAGTACGCCTGGTCAGGTCTTCACTGTGACAGTGAGTTTTGTTGCGCATTTTCCTCCCACTTTATCCAGGACCTTCTCATGTGATTTCTTTCAGAGTGGTAGCCAGATACCATCTGGTTGTTGTGGCCTACGAGGCACAGAGGCGGAGGTTCGTGTTGTTCATTAGTCTTTGGGGATTAGCTGTTTCCACGTGTCTTTGATTTTCTTTACTCTTTTTTGCTCTTGGCCAGGAAAGAACAAGAGGCGTGTCTTAGATGGCTGCTCAGCAGCTTTTAAGACCCCAGTCTTAGTCTCTTTTGAAAATGAATGCTTTGGGTATTTGTTGGCATGGTGGAGTACAGACCCTAATTCTAGAAAGAGAAGCATGTGCTTTGTTTACCTGTGGATTAAGCCAGGTTTCACAGTTCAACTCCATGGACTCTAATGTGTTCCATTAATAAATCCAATTTTTAATTATTGTACACATGATTATTTTATGTACCAGTTTTTCAAAAAGCAAAACAATAATGTCTATGAAACTCTGAGGAGCTGCAGTGCCAAAAAGTACATCCAAAACTTCTGAGATGTTAACAAGCGAAAAACTACTCATCCTAAAATCCATGAGATTTGGTACTTTCTTGATGAGAAAAAGAGGGAAGGCTCACAGACTCAGCAGCTTGCCGCCCACCGATGTGATGTCGTTAG